TATATCTTATAATATATTATAAGATAATTTATAATTTGTACCTCAATTTCTACTGTAGGAAAGCAATAGATTGCGTGAAATATCTGTTTCGATAAATAATCATTCCTTACGAGTCGTTAATTATGAGAGTCAGTTTGCGCAAATTAATAATCATTAAATATTGATGAGAAGGAAGAGGGATGATCGCGTTTCCTTCTAATATTTGTCGTTCTCGCGTCTTAAGAAAATAATATAATGACACGAAAGCGTTATCATTGAAATATTTAACATAATTTGTTATATATAAATGCGCGAATATTCTGTTCCTCGTAATTTAATTAATTTCGATAGAATTTTCAATAGAATTTCTAATTAATTACAATAAATCATTATATTGTATTATTATACGTTATTAAATTTTACATTTTAAAGAACAAAATTTTTCGATCGGAAAAGATATTTATAAAAATTAATTTAGTGTTCTTTTTACCCAAAAAATTGTTACGATCTGAGTTATTGAAATTCTGTGATTTTGATAAATCATAAGACATAATTAAAAAAAAATAAATAAATAAATAAAAATAAAATGTTAAGAAAATAAAATAAAATTACCGCAGGGTAGTGATTTATTTTTTCTTGAATTATTAAAACCAACGGTTTTCATATGAACTTAAAAATTTAATAATAAAATAACAATATAAAATTAAAGTTTCCCTTTTTCGATCGCAAAATAAACATAAATTATATTTTTTTAATTCACAGATTTAACATTAAATTTAATAATTATTTTCAAAGAAATTTCGAAGAAATTTATTAATAAATTCTTTAAATTTTTATTAAAAGAAAAATTTAAATAATATGCAACTGTTAAAATGGGTTTAATTTTATATTATCAACTGATTGCACATTTGCATATAAGAAACTAAAAGAAAAAATAATTTAAGCAATAAAAATAAGTATTATATTAAAATTAATAAGTTAATAGTTCAATGTAAATGTAAGCTTAAACATATAAACTTTGCGCGATATTATTAGTCAAATTTAATCATTTATAACTTGAATTTTCATATTAAGATTTTTCAATTCTTTTGTGATCTCCGCTGTTGAAGTATTATACAGTTATGAGGCATCTTATTACTACATTTAAACGTCGCAAATCAGAAATAATATCATATTGATTACGTATAGGCATAAAAAAATTGTCCGTCTTGATTTGGTCTAATAGAGTCGCTCTACTAACAAGATCTCGGTCCTCGATCAAAGATGGTCCCGTCTCTATGAACACAAAATGGCCACATCACGGCCAACGTCACGCACCGCTACGCGTGTGCTCACACCCACTTCCTTTTTACGCCACTCCCTGACCCGGGCCCGCGTCAGGCCTCGAGGAACGGATAATCTACGACCGGGATCGCCGGGAAAAATCGAGAAACCAATCGGCGATAGGATACGAAAAAATCCGAGAGAATAAACGTAATCGTATCGGCTGAGCGATCGAGCAATAACATGATCAGTGCCCAATGAACAAAGAAACCGATAAAATTTATAATTACCACCTTTTAATCGAAAGACCAAATATTTCGCAGCTAAATTGAGTACCGATATAATTATTTACAGCGCAACGGTAAAAATACCAGACGTAGACGTCACTTTGCCGGCCGTTATATTCCCTCGTATTATTCAACAATTATCAATCATCTCTGATATTGATTAACGCCGCTGGAAATTTATTTAGCCAACGAAAACAGAATTATTTGCAAATTTACGAATAATTTCGATGCATACGAATGTTTTCAATCCGCGATGAAAATGAGCATAAAACGAGAAGAACTCTCTCTTCCATATTCCACCTTCGATATAATCGAAATATTTTGAAACATAAACAAAAGAATGCATGTAGAATCGATTGCGGCAGAATCTCCATATTTCTACTGAGGCAAAAAGTCCTAGTGCAATGCAGAAAACTGGCGGCTCTGGCAGATATACGTACAGCCTCATATTGGGACCAGGAAGCATGGAATTGGGAATGGTAGCGAGAACGGCGTACAGAGGAGAGCGAACGTATAGCCTCGCGAGAGAGATGAATCTGGTCACGGTGGATCATAAAGTCCCTCGGGGATTCGCCCACGCCGCGTCCACTCTCTTAGTCAAGTCAGAGAGAATAAGCTGGAGGAATGAGAAGCGAGCAAGAGAGAAAAAAGAGTGAAGAAGAGAGAGAAAGGAGAGCGGGAAAGATAGGAAAAGAGAAAGAGAAGGGGAGCGACCGTGGCGAACGGGATAGAGAAGAAGGGAAAGAGCGTCAGAGAAGTCGAGGCACTCGCGGCGCAAAAAGCG